AGGTGGTATGGCTTCCAGTCAGAGACGCCGCTGATGGGCGACGCCGTTTTCGAGCTGTGGTTACCGTGTCGAGCATCAGGCCTCTCTGTAGGCGTTCGAGACTGGCACAATGGACATCGCACATGGCTCCGAGTTGACAACTTGTGCCGTGAGGAATCTACGATTTCTGTGGGAACGAGTAACCAAACTTCGCAGCCTCGCCACAGCCACAACAACATGCTTCTTCTACAGCCGCAGCGGACCCATCGCTTCTGTGTCCGCTGGAACCAAAGGGCCTTTGAGGTGGGCGTGGATGGCAAGTTGATCATTGCTTTGAATTTGCGAAACGGCGCGCAAGATATAGCGTCGCCTCTTGCGCAAGTTTTTGTTTGGATTCATGTGCGGCCCGGTGGCTCTGAGGAAAGGACACGCGTCCGGCCTCTTCCATCGCCTATTTCAAAGGAATGCGCGTGTGACTTGTGCGCTTTGCCAACGCGAAGAGAGTGTTGTGCTGCCTTGCTGGGCGGCTTGTCCGCTTTGTTCGACGTGGATCTGCAAGGAGCACACTGGGCATGAACCGCAGCATCGCTGCCGCAATTGCATGATGCAGCTGCAAGACTACGTTGGTGGCGGTGACAACGCTTGTCTTGCGTCCACTATTGCTGAGTATGTGATATTTGTGCGCATTCAGCACCTGCGAGCTCTGATCTTAAGGAATATCCAGGAGATGGTCACAGACCGGGCGCTGTGGTCCTCTGTGCCCGATCCCTTTGATTTGAGCATTGACTCTGGCGCATGGATGCACTATGTGGATAAATTCCGTTGAGTTTCAGGCTAGGCAAGTGACGTCGCAAGTCGATATCTCCATCATGCAGGCTAAACCACGACAGCACGCAGAGCACACCTTATCTGAGGTCGACCGAGCAGTGAAACGGCTTGGTGCTTGGGCACGTTTGCTTATGGTGCTCATTCCGTGTCGAGAAGTCGTATGTTTGCAGCAGATCTGGTCACCCGCTGATCCATCAATCTCAAAACGAGCGTGCGAGTATCATCTCTACGGTGTCAGACAATCCGTTGCCTTGCTGGAGACGGAAACGCCGGAGACGGAGACGCCGCAAACAGTCTCAGAGTTCTGCGGCACGTCACCAAGACGTTTTGACTTTCTGGCCGGGACATCGATGCCGTCCGCCGACCCACGAGCAGTGGCTCGTCCTCAGCGAACGCCGAGCTTGTGCTTTGCTGAAGCGACAGCTACGCGTCGGCACGCAGTCCTCCGATGAGTTTCTTTGTTTGTGGCAGAGAAGCCTGAGCCCGTATTGCTGCCCAAGCTATACGACGGGCGCCCCGTCCATGATCCGCCTGCCTTGTTTTGCGTGGGCAGACGTGAAGCCTCCTGTGCTTTTAAGTGCTCAAGACGATGTGTTACGTCGGCTCGAGTGTGCAGATGTGGCATGTGTCCTTCTTGCGAGACTGCATGGTCATCCCAGAGACAGATTTGTGTCCTTCGTTCAGGAAACACACAGCTATTACGTGAACGGACACAAAATGCCTTTGTCCGTAACCGGCCTGGTACATTCCTTTGCTCGGCCTGAATACTCTCACCAGGTGGCCGACACCATCGTGCCGTTCTCCGCAGACGAGATCAAGGCAGCGTGGTCGCGTAACGCGAAGGAGGCAGCGGCCAGGGGAATTTTTGCAGATTGAAGTCTTGCTCAATGCCGGATATGTTCAAGAAGAATGCTGCGTCGAGTTAATTCAGTTATTCAAGCAATTTCTTCGGGAATATCCGCTGCCGCTGCTCGCGTTTCGAACTGGTGCATTTATGGTGAGAACGAGCAGCTGGCAGGCTGCATCGACTGCGTGGCCAGCTGCTCTAAAGACGAAGTCATTCCTTTCGACTGGAAGAGAACCAAAGGCCTGCGCAGCAAATACAGCAATCGCTGGGCAAACATGACATCGCCTGTAGTACGTCATCTGGAGGACTGTGCAGGCAATCACTACCCAGACCACCGATTGGATCTATTTAATAGATCCAGGTCGTGCTGGCTCTAAATTTAAGATCCAGGGGCTGCTTCTGGATCTAAAAATTCAGCCGTGGCCGTGTGGATCTTGCAAGCGTTTGACTGACTGCACGCGAGAATTCGGAGTGCGGATATAAAAAAATACATAAAGAGTTCTACTAATATAATGAAAACAATATATACATATATATATATACCATATGAATATATATATATATATATGTATAATATACTGTGCAGTAACATATGTATAATAAGGATTTAGGGTATAGGGTAACAGAATAAGTGTTATTGGTATTTGTACTTGTTTTTGTTATTATGTATTGTTCATATAAAGAGCCGTGTACCATCCCGGTCCCCGGCTGAGCACATGCCGTGGCAGGCCTTCGGCCTTCGATACCAAGCTCCTCACCTTATGGGCTGTGGGTTGTAGCTTCGAGAGGGTAACAGGTTTGCATGGTGTGACATGACACATACACCGTGTTTTTGGGCCACACACAGACATACTTATTCGCATGCCATGAAGATTTGGTTGCTACATCTTCCAACACAATACTCTATGGAATTTCCATTACTCAGCCAAATAACTCGGTTTTGTGAGTTGTTTGTTCGATGCTCGACAAAATCAGGTTTTCAACGCGGCTTTGCAATCAAATCCAGGCCAAAGGTTTCCAATATGGCCGAAACACACCAGTTTTGAAATCAGTTCGCAAATCAGAGGTTGATTTTCGCTACGACACAAGCCCCAGCATCGAAATAGTAGGTTGCAATTCAGCATGGTTCATAGTGTTTCGACATGATGCCAAAACCAGCAAGTTCGAAACCCATGTAAAAAAAAGAACCCCATTTACAAAAAAAACGCCTGATTTTCGGCATCTGCAACGGTTTAGGCTGTTACGAGTATAAGGTTTCGGGGTTTCAGGTCCTAAACCCGACCAAAACAACCCGAGATCCTAAGCCCTCCCACTCGTAGAGTCGCAGACTTCAACGAATACCAGGGCAAGCTCGAGCAGATCGGCCTGGACGATTCCCTTATAGTCCCTGTCATGTTCAACTAGTTTAGGGCAGTTTAGGCTTTAGGGTTCAATTAGTTTAGGGCTAGGGTTTAGTGTTTGTTTCCACATTTTACCCCAAAGCCTTATTCTGGTCATGCAGGCCTTTTTAGTCCTAGCATAGCGTAAACGCACACACACAAACTGGTAAGGGCCATTATAAGCTGGGGTCCAACATACCTCCTGGGTCTGACGAATCTGACGTCTGAGGAGGCCTCGTAGATCCAATGGGCAAGAACCCTACACTATACCGAACAGTCGCTCGGCGTCGGTTTTGCTGTGCCCATCTTGATAACATGTACATATACACATGTATCTCTGCACGTATATTAAACTTAACACTTAACACATAACATAACATAACATAGCATAATATGACATAGCACAGCATTGCAGAACAAGACATAGCAAAACATGACATAGCATCATATACGTGTGTATATATAGTTACTATCTCTCTATACATGTGTACATATATATGTTTGTATATTTGTGTATATGTATAGTGTTTATATATATATATGTATATATATATATATGTTTATATGTAGATGTATATGTATGTGTGTGTGTGTATGTATGTATGTATATATATATATATAATACACGTGTTGTGAGATCTGTACCCTGTGCTCGACAGCAGGTGAATGCCCTTCGCTTCAGCGGCCAGGCCGTTGAGGCCCCGGCGCCCGGGGCACGGCCTTGGCAATGCGCTTCGCAGCTCGGAGAACGCTAGGCTTTAGTGGCATGTGGGGTTTTGGTTTTAGGGCTCCGTTTCGGGTTTATTCCGTCAAGGTTTCGGGTGTAGGCTATTGAAGGCGATGCCCGCTCGAGCCGAGGTGTTCCTGGCGCAATGTTCCGCAGATCAAGAACTGTGAGCTGTGCCGAGCACAGCGGCAGAAGCGTTCGGTCGAGGCCGAGAATTTCAATGCCAGAAGCTCGTGTGTAGGTGAGGTTCAACCCTGCAAAACCGTAACCCTGAAAGACCCATATACCCCTGACTCGCGAAACCCTATAGCGCCTAGACTCCACTAGACCGGGGCCCAGCTCATGCAGGTTAAGCCCGAAGGTCGGTGCGAGTCGCACCTCGGCCCTCAGACATTGGGTCGATCGAGGGGCATCCTTTGTGCGATATGGGCTTGCTGCCAGTTAGGGCGTTTACGACTACGACGACCAACAGACAGCAGCTCCAGCAACCGGGAGACACAAAAGTAAGCCCACATCGATTCCTGCACCAATGCGACAGACTCACAGCAAAGCCCAAGAGGCAACATCTCCAACATCCGAGACCCACGCAGGTCTAAGTGACCCTTCTCCTAGTTCCAGTTGCTGCATTTCCGTCTGCTCAAGCTCGTAACTTCGTCACCTTGCCTTCGCAAGCCTCACACGCTGAGTTCGCACATCCCATTCCAACCCTTGCTCCATCTCTCGCGAAGCCTCTTGACACCCGTGCCTGCCGCGAGATGCTCAAAACGCGTCAGCTCCAAGTTTGGGCCAGGTCTTCCCCGAAGTGTAGGCGCTGCCCAAAGTATGGCTCAATTTGGGGCTTGGGACGGCTCCTTTCATGGAGGGCTCAGAGGTTCGGGTGGAGTTTAGGGTCCTACACAGCCAGCTGTCCCCCAACAGCGTTCGAAAGGGTGTTTCCATCGACTGTATCTCTACTATCATAGCCGCCAAACCCGATTCCAACTATTAATGGCGTCCATATTATGGCATGAGGGATGATGGAGGGTCCGATCATAAACCTTCAGTCTTGGAGATTCTCAGACTTTGGATGCAGTGATATACAACTAGAAAAGAGAATAAGATGTGTGGCAAAACCCTAGTCTATTTATGCAGGCCCCTGTGTCAAGAAACAGTCGAAGTCGAGGCTGGGATGGTGGCCCATCAACTTGGACCGTGAACTGCTCCTTGACAAGCGCCGGTCTTGCTGGCTGAGATGTATAGTCATATAGTTCTTAAGATTCGTCGCGTTTTCTGTTTGGGGAGGTGCTGATGGTTGCAGTTGTTTGTGCAAGCCTATGAGGCTGCTCATTGATGATCTTCAGTCTTGTCATTCGGCAGTCTTGAGACATTGTTGTGAATTGTGAGCTTTACCACCCCCCTGGTTCTGAACCTGAAGCTTGACTCGAAAGCTCTAGTGGTTGGGGGTTGAAAGTTCATGCTTTGGGCAATAGTTGGCGTTGCAAAAGGTTTATAGTGTATAACACTACGAAAGACTTCCCAGTCGGGTAGCTCTTTGGCACACACAACCGTACACACTAGGCCTGGGATGCGACCCTGAGGGCAACCACCCACCGATCGGTTTTCATCCGAGCTCGCACATTGCACTGCTCGGGTAGCAAGGATGTCCGACGTTTTCAGGAATCGCTATAAGCCCATGGAACCCAGTACGTCGGTGATGTTTTGGTGGTTCTCCTAATTCCGACCCGTACTCAAGTGCTTTGACTTGCTTCAGGCAACATGAAGAGCGCTCTTCGGGCGGCCTTTGCCGTCTGTGTGGCGAGGAGAAGGTAATGGGGGCGAGACACATTCGTCTTCAAGGGTAGGGCGCCAAGTTTGGTGTTACGGGTTTGGCTCCTTTGGTGTTCAAGACCATCTCTGGCTACGCTGAAGGCCTAAAGCTTTTTACAGAAAGCAATTTCTGAGTTCACAGCTCCCGTAAAGGTCCCATCCATGTGGTCTTCAGTTGGTGGGACTGACCCAAAGTTGGATGATCGCAGCCCCAGGCTCTCTCCCGAAGTCCATAGTCGTTTCTTTCTCGCAGTTGTCTGTCGTTCATTTTGGGTTCGCGTTTCTCCCCGCTCTTACACTTTGCTCGTTTTTCTCTCACACGGCTTTCTTCCCCGGTTTCGTGCCTTTTCTCTCGAGTAGTTTGCTTTTGCACTGTCTTCGGAACTCGTCACCTCTGTAACGAGACGTCTTTCCCGCATTGGGCTTCTTGCATCTTTGGCGCACGGTCTGCCTGTCTGTCGGCTTTGCACATGTATCTAAGAAGTGCGACAGGCACTGATCAGGCGTCGCAAGACTTCCTGATTGCAATTCCATGTTTTGGGCCTCTTGAGAGTCTTGGCTGTTCTGTGCCAGGTGGTTTGTGCCTTCGACTTCAGCGATGATGCGGCTTTCGAGGAGCTATGCATGAACTCGATTGGTCGAGAGTCTGTGGGCCACCAATGCTGAGACAGCTTCTCCATCTGCTGCTGTTGTTTCTTGCTGCTGCGAGGCCTGGGCTTGGTACATGCGTTTGGCATTTCATCTTGTGGCCGCTTATTCACTCACTCATGCCCGAAACACGAATACGGAAGGGAAGCCTAGAATTTGTTGGGATCTTTGAAACCTTTGGGTCAGGGCATCGGAAAGCGAACAGGAAGTGGCATAGAACGCTGCATAACCAGATGAGCTCCCGAAGAAAGTGCTACAGAAGTTTTCTGGACACAAAGCGCTCAAAGCTGGGCCTGGAGCCTTGGTTGCGTCTGCATACAGGGTTGTCGCATGGTCAGGATCAGCAAGCCGAAGCAGGTGTCCATGATGTTCATGCTACTATTGACTATTGAGGTTGTGGGCTTTATGGACCAATCTTTCGAATTGCCTGCTTTGTGGCGAACCCGGATGTCTTCGTCGGAGTTTGAGAAAGTTTTTCAGGAGCAGCAGCGGGTGGTGGAGCGCACTTTCGAGACAACCATCACATGCGGCCCGGCCTGCAAAACAAAGCCCTCCATTCCCTGAGCCCGGCCAGTTCGATTACAAGCTCGAGTAGCTGCAATTCCAAGAGCGCACCGGGCCCCAAACGAGCACACCCCCCTCTCGAGGCACCTCCAAAGTTCAGTCTGAAGTCTGCGGGTTTGCTCAATCCCACCCCAAAATTTCAGGCGCTGTCCCTAACCCGCAAGCGGCAAGAAAAAGTCCAGACTAGGCGACTGCCGCATGAACGCCATAGCAGTTTGGTGGCGATTGTCCGGCACTTCGGCTGCAGAACTCTTTCAGGGCTTCTTACGGCCGTAATTGGGTTTGGGTTTAAGGTTTAGGCGTTGATGGTTACCCGAATCCCGAGTTTCTGCATGTGATGTCAGCTGTGCGGGCTTGGTTCATGATACTGACTGAAATCCTCATGTGTGCCCTGAACAAAGGTTTCTTTCTGAGCAGGGTGGGGCAGGTAACCCTAAGCCAGGGCTCTGGCGCATCACTTAGACGTAGACGCAACTCTTCAATTGTTCATGCTCACCAAATCCTGTCAACACCCCACAGGCCGAAAACCGAAGCGGACCCTGGGTAGCTGTACCCCTCCGATGGCGAAACCAACCCTGAACTCCACAACCCCAAACACCCGAAACCTAACATAAACCCAAAATTTCAATCGCGCCTGAAACCCCTGCAACGTCTTGACTTTATACCCTACAGACAAGCCCCATAACCTAAGCCCCAACCCTACATCCTAAGTCGAAGCACAGGTCCTGACGGCCTTGCAGTCGACACCCGGCCCTTTGCGCCAACTGCCAGCCGCACTGCATGGGGAGGCATTCAGCATGGAGCTTTAAGCCGTGAACCCTTCCGATGCTCCGCAGACCGTAGCTGACGTCCCGAACATCACTTGCTCTGGGACCCTGGATTCCCAACTCTCTTCGGAGGCCTGGTTTTGGTTAGAGCTGAATGTGCCATAGAAGCCCTCACAAAGCCCATAGAAGCCCTCAACCTGCAAGCAGTACCTGAACTCGGCTCTTCAGTGCCTTCCACTGTCCAGGCTCGAAGCACCAAGCAGTCTTCTTCTTGGGGTATGAGCCGCTTTGCTATGAGCTGAAGCTCTTGCCTTTCGAATGTTCAGGGAGCTGGACGATGGCACAGATGCTGTCTACTGGTCAGAAACACAGGCCCTTGTTTGCTTCCAACATGAGTGACGAGAACACTGTGAACCGCAGGATCTCTTCGGACACCTAACATACTTAAGCAAGATTCTCTTCCTGCTGTTCCTCGCCTCTGCTGCTATAGACATGTAGAAGAACACCGATTCAGGCAGTAGCCAGTAGTCCAACTCCGCTTCACAAGCCAAGGTTGTAGTGGTAAATGCAGGACCCCGAGCTCATCTTCCAAGCCTCAAAGACTCGTCACGATGGTGTATTCCCTGAGTTGAAAAACGGTTTCCATCGTCAAGCCCTGACGAAGCCCTGCCACTTCGGGGCCCCACGGCCTCAAATGGCTCCAAGCATAGCGCAGCAGAAACGAAATGCCGACAGAACCCAATGCGCTGACCCACTTGGAGCCTTGAGCAACGAATACCAGAGAGGAGAGACGCAAGGCTTTAGAGGATTTGGCAGGTGCACGATCCTGATCCAAAAAACATGTCAAGTAGGGTCAGAAGTGGGGTAATGAGGAAGCTGCCAAGGTTGTTATAGCCCTGACCATGAGGTCCCCCGATATGCCTGAACCTCCCCAGCTCAAGAAATCGTGACCGGTCCGATGGAAACAAAATCTAGCAAAGCCCGAAACATTGTTGAAGTTAGTGGGTATTTGGCCACCAGCACCCGTAACTTGCTAGCGAAAAACCTTGGCAGAGACCAACAGACCACGTCCTCGCTTAACCCCAAGACTGTCCAGAGACAGAAAAAGGGCATTTGTACAATACCAAAACACTCTGTCGAGCTGAGGATTGGCCTGGCAGCTGGCGAGGCAGATGCGGCAACCCCAAAGTTGTGAGCACGTCGGGTCGCGGGTTGAACTCTGAACCCGCCGACCTCCCTCAAGCCGTTCAGCCGCTAGCAGTCGCTGACCTCTGGTCAGCAGATTGCACATACCCAAGCGTAAACCCCTCTAGAATCTAGAAAGAATGACCTGCAACTGTCTCGTGTGTCGGACCATGTCGCACGATTTACGCACGCGTGTGTCTCTCTGTCTCTCTGTTTGTCTGTCTGTCTGTCTGTCTGTCTGTCTGTCTGTCTGTCTGTCTGTCTGTCTGTCTGTCTGTCTGTCTGTCCGTCTGGCTGTCTGTCTGTCTGTCTGTCTGTCTGTCTGTCTGTCTGTGTGTCTGTCTGTGTGTGTGTCTGT